CTGTCACTACACTAGTTATTCAAATTATGTATTCCCAGTATTAAACACGTAACTAACACAAGGTGTTGTCACTATATTATACTAGTTATTCAAAATATGTATTCCCGATATTAAACACATTACTAACACAAGGTGTTGTCACTATACTAGTCATTCAAATTATGTATTTCCAATATTAAACACGTTACTAACACAAGGTGTTGTCACTATATTATACTAGTTATTCAAAATGTGTATTCCCAATATTAAACACTTTACTAACACAAGGTGTTGTCACTATACTAGTTATTCAAATTATGTATTCCCAGTATTAAACACATTACTAACACAAGGTGTTGTCACTATATTATACTAGTTATTCAAATTATGTATTCCCAGTATTAAACACGTTACTAACACAAGGTGTTGTCACTATACTAGTTATTCAAAATATGTATTCCCAATATTAAACACGTTACTAACACAAGGTGTTGTCACTATACTAGTTATTCAAATTATGTATTCCCAGTATTAAACACGTTACTAACACAAGGTGTTGTCACTATACTATACTAGTTATTCAAAAATATGTATTCCCAATATTAAACACGTTACTAACACTAGGTGTTGTCACTATACTATACTAGTTATTCAAAATATGTATTCCCAATATTAAACACGTTACTAACACAAGGTGTTGTCACTATACTATACTAGTTATTCAAAATATGTATTCCCAATATTAAACACGTTACTAACACAAGGTGTTGTCACTGTACCACAGCAGTTGTTAAAAACACACATATCCTATCACATACTACATGTATCAACCAAAGGTGTTTCTGATTATAAAAGATATGATCTAATACTATCCGTGTATTTAGTTCTCACCATAACGTACTACTCGTGCTATATAACCTCAGTACCAACTAACATAAAACTAGATGGTGTTTCCACGACAACACTGCTTTTCTGAGACAGGTAGTCCAACAACTAAGCTTTCTACCATGTTTGTTTTTCAAACCTTCTGTACTAGCCAGAGCATTCTTATCATAATAGGGATGAATGTTTCTGAAAAAAGAAAGAACTTATCATATTTTTTCATTAGAACTAAAATATCTTCAACCTTTCCATGTACTTTCCAAGATGATACCAACTAAATATTTGTGTACTTTAAGAGTTTCTTAACACATACAAACAAATGGATGGATAATTGATGACAATTATTTGCTATGTATCACTTGTGTATGTCCAGAGAGATAATGTAACAGAAGTTCAACTGTACATTATTAAGTACTGTATTTGACTGAGAAACATTAATAAGTAATTATTAGTTTCAAATAATGATTTAGTAAAAAACAATGCTCTATTTCATGTATACTGTAGTTTGTCCACATGATCTGATATTAATGTGCTGGTTTAACCCTATTTCTTTTTTGATTGTAGTTTGTCCACAGCACATTCTGATATTAATGTGCTGGTTTAACCCTATTTCATGTATATTGTAGTTTGTCCACAGCACGTTCTGATATTAATGTGCCGGTTTAACCCTATTTCATGTATATTGTAGTTTGTCCACAGCACGTTCTGATATTAATGTGCCGGTTTAACCCTATTTCATGTATATTGTAGTTTGTCCACAGCACGTTCTGATATTAATGTGCTGGTTTAACCCTATTTCATGTATACTGTAGTTTGTCCACACGTTTTGATAATAATGTGCTGGTTTAACCATATTTCATGTATATTGTAGTTTGTCCACAGCACGTTCTGATATTAATGTGCTGGTTTAACCATATTTCATGTATATTGTAGTTTGTCCACAGCATGTTTTGATATTAATGTGCTGGTTTAACCCTATTTCATGTATATTGTGGTTTGTCCACAGCACGTTTTGATATTAATGTGCTGGTTTAACCCTATTTCATGTATATTGTAGTTTGTCCACAGCACTTTTTGATATTAATGTGCTGGTTTAACCCTATTTCATGTATATTGTAGTTTGTCCACAGCACTTTTTGATATTAATGTGCTGCTTTAAACCTTGCTCAGTAACAATTAGTAAACAATGTTATAAAGACAAAAAAATCCACCTGAGCTGGCTTTGGACAATGACTTCTGACGGAAAAATGGGGAGGCAGAGTATCTGTGGTGATGATGGTTAGGGAAAGCTTCCAGAGGATCCTGTATCAGCCAATAAAACAGAATACTGTAATGACAGAAATCTATTTAAAAGAAGCTTTACTACCAATAAAGCAAAACGATATTGTTTAAAAAAAAACGACAAACTAATTCACTACATCAATGTTTCTTAAACTGTGTTATGCCACCCCTCATGGTACAGGGTAGTCATTGAAAGAGTTACGTGAAGCAAAAAGGGGAAAAAAAGATAGGAGAAAGAACATTGAGAATTATGTTAAATAAAACTTTTTGTTTGAAGTTGTAAAATAATCTACAGAATTATATTATTTGTTGAAACTAAACTATAATATTATATAATATAATAAACAAAATATATTAGTTATACTTTTTAGGTTTGCAAAAGAAACAATAAGTTACATTAACAAGTGTAACCTCGTTTATTTTTTTCATCATGATCAATATATCATTCTAAATAACACTATGTAGGCTTACACAAGTTATTTAAAAATATAATACATTTAATTAAAACAACAGTCAACAAACAACTCTAACCAACCCTGAATAAACAGGTTTATAAACATTAAACAACATTAGCACTCTCTGTTTTCTGATAAATGCACATTTAAAAGATTCTATACTGTAAGTTGAATGATATCTATTTGAAGTTATGACATAAAGTAACTCAAAAGAAGGCTGATACAATCTTTCACAGTTTTACTGTCCTAAATAAATAAAGATTGAAAGTAATATCTTAATAGAAGGATGACAATCTTTCACAGGTTACTGTCCTAAATAAATAAAGATTGAAAGTAATATCTTAATAGAAGGATGACAATCTTTCACAGTTTTACTGTCTAATATAGATTAGATTGAAAGTAATATCTTAATAGAAGGATGACAATCTTTCACAGTTTTACTGTTCTAAATAAACTAGATTGAAAGTAATATCTTAATAGAAGGATGACAATCTTTCACAGGTTACTGTCCTAAATAAATAAAGATTGAAAGTAATATCTTAATAGAAGGATGACAATCTTTCACAGTTTTACTGTCCTAAATAAACTAGATTGAAAGTAATATCTTAATAGAATAATGACAATCTTTCACAGTTTTACTGTCCTAAATAAATTAGATTGAAAGTAATATCTTAATAGAAGGATGACAATCTTTCACAGTTTTACTGTCCTAAATAAACTAGATTGAAAGTAATATCTTAATAGAATAATGACAATCTTTCACAGTTTTACTGTCCTAAATAAATTATATTGAAAGTAATATATTAATAGAAGGATGACAATCTTTCACAGTTTTACTGTCTAATATCGATTAGATTGAAAGAAGTAACTCAAAAAAGGAAGATAATGAATCATGCATACCTTTCCTGTTTTTCTTAATAGTTTAGCTTGAATGAGAAGAAGCTTTGCTCTCTGATGTTCATAACTGTAAATCAGTAATATTCTCATAATAAAATTCATGAATGTAAAATAAAAAATAATAGCTGACAAACACAAAAAGAAAAGAACACATCATACATAATTTTATAATGTTTTGTGACACAGACTGTACCTACACACTTTTATAATGTTTTGTGACACAGACTGTACCTACACACTTTTATTATGGTTTGTGTCAGATTGTATCTACATAATTTTATAATGTTTTGTGACACAGACTGTACCTACACACTTTTATAATGTTTTGTGACAGATTTTACCTACACACTTTTATAATGTTTTGTGACACACTGTACCTACACACTTTTATAATGTTTTGTGACACACTGTACCTACACACTTTTATAATGTTTATTAGACAGATTTTACCTACACACTTTTATAATGTTTTGTGACAGATTTTACCTACACACTTTTATAATGTTTTGTGACACAGACTATACCTACACACTTTTATAATGTTTTGTGACACAGACTTTACCTACACACTTTTATAATGTTTTGTGACACAGACTTTACCTACACTTTTATAATGTTTTGTGACACAGACTGTACCTACACACTTTTGTAATGTTTTGTGACACAGACTGTACCTACACACTTTTATAATATTTTGAGTTCATGAATTTAATTACTTTTATATATTTCTGCATCCAAAGACAGTGACGGATTAAGGGTGGCACATTGACTAGCTTAACTGAACTTCTGATGTCTCTTGTCGCATAGCTAGAAAAATTGTGATAGTTATGGAACATAATTTACTTTTGGAACTTTATTATTCTGTGTTTTTTGGAGCATTATTTAATTAAAGAAAAATTACTTAGTGCAGTTGTACCATTAGTATAAAAAAGTAGGGTTAAGTGTCATAGACTGTCGATAGCAAAAAAACAAACAAACAAGACCCACGTTGAATACTTTATTTCTTTTTTTTTCATGTGTATTTATTATTTTAAAAATAACTAATGTGTAAAAATAGGAAACTTTTAAAGTTATTTAAGGGTAGGTTAAAACATAAATAAATAATGATAGAAATTTTTCATGAGGTATACATAGTGTTATTTGAGAGCTTAACATGAGTTACATGTTTGCCAGTGATTTATGACTTATAATGGCTCCAGTAGTGGTTAGACACAGTTCAAAGGGCAATAAAACAATACAACTTAAGTATAAATAGATGTATACTGATATGAGTTGATAAACAAGTGAAGCTTCATGTTACAATCTGAAGTTGTTCTAGAAATAAAAAAGTGTAATTCAGATTCAGATTTATTTAATTTTTTTTTTGGTGGTTATGAGGTCAGCTAAATTGAACTGCCCTGTTTTAACATAACTATTACTTGCACTTGGACTAGAAAAAAAAAGACTATATATATATATATTCATGGATAAATCTTTAGTAAAAATACTTCATTAAAAAAAAACTGATTTTCTATATACAAACAACTTGTAATATTTACTATGCCCGCCAAATTGTGTGAGAATACACATAATGTATTAAAGGTTATAGTATTAAACTATATACTAGTACGAAACAGTCACATGGTCAGTCCCTGGGACCAAGCCCATATTGAGAGGCTTAACATAATAAGATATTTATATATTTCATCTGATTTACAATTTGTTTTTTGTATGGGACCTCCCTTAGACCATGAGCCCTTGGCAGTTGCTCAAACCTTACTTAATCTGTCACTGTTCAAAATTTATGATGCTTACTTAGAGGTAAAGATGTTAGAGAGTGTTTACAGTTGTTACTTTAGAAGTAAAGATGTTAGCCAGTGTTTACAGTTATCACTTTAGAAGTAAAGATGTTAGACAGTGTTTACAGTTATCACTTTAGAAGTAAAGATGTTAGACAGTGTTTACTGTTGTCACTTTAGAAGTAAAGATGTTAGCCAGTGTTTACAGTTGTCACCTTAGAGGTAAAGATGTTAGCCAGTGTTTACTGTTGTCACCTTAGAGGTAAAGATGTTAGCCAGTGTTTACAGTTGTCACTTTAGAAGTAAAGATGTTAGCCAGTGTTTACAGTTGTCACCTTAGAGGTAAAGATGTTAGCCAGTAGTTTACAGTTGTCACTTTAGAGGTAAAGATGTTAGCCAAGTGTTTACTGTTGTCACTTTAGAGGTAAAGATGTTAGCCAAGTGTTTACAGTTGTCACTTTAGAGGTAAATATGTTAGCCAGTGTTTACTGTTGTCACTTTAGAGGTAAAGATGTTAGCCAGTGTTTACTGTTGTCACTTTAGAAGTAAAGATGTTAGCCAGTGTTTACAGTTGTCACTTTAGAGGTAAATATGTTAGCCAGTGTTTACTGTTGTTACTTTAGAGGTAAAGATGTTAGCCAGTGTTTACTGTTGTCACTTTAGAAGTAAAGATGTTAGCCAGTGTTTACAGTTGTCACCTTAGAGGTAAAGATGTTAGCCAGTGTTTACTGTTGTCACCTTAGAGGTAAAGATGTTAGCCAAGTGTTTACTGTTGTCACTTTAGAGGTAAAGATGTTAGCCAAGTGTTTACTGTTGTCACTTTAGAGGTAAAGATGTTAGCCAAGTGTTTACTGTTGTC